GTGACAGCCGCGGGAGCGGGGGCGGAGGTGGGGCTGGGCGCCGCCTTATGTAACGGTGACGCAGTGCGCGCGCGGCCCCTCGCGCGTCGCGTTTCCTGCACAGCCTCCCCGCTCGCCGTTTGCCTTTCCCAGTGGCTGACCGGGCGGCGACGAATTAGATTGCTCGGCGAAAATATGATTGCGTAAACGCTGCTCTACGCGTTTTGTCGCAGACTAGAAGGAATTGAAAAGACTGTTCGTTTTGTGTAACCAAAGCTCCTGTCTATCATGTTTGTTTTTCGTTTGGAGGGGGGGGGGGAGTTTAGTCAAATCGTTTTCTGTTCAAACGTCGATCTTGCTGTTTACAAGTAACGTTTTATTTCAGAAATCGGACATGATTATGCAAAACTGACGTCAAAAGGTTACGTGAAGACCAGCATTGTGTTCGCTGTTACAAGAGAGAAAAAAATACAATGGCTGTTTACATAGGGCAGATGTTGTGGAGTCTTGTACGGGCATATCGTTCGTTGGCACTAGTGGTCAGGTGTTTAGACTAAGCATATGCGATGAAATCATTCACGATCTACATTTATCATTTGTCAACTGAGAGCAATTGCTATGATGCTGTATTTACGTACTGTATAAAATGCACGCGTTCTCTAACGTCCCTAATGTAGGCTAGTGCGTATTTCTGAATGTGTGAGTAGGCTTGGATGTCATTGGTTCTAAATGATTCAGATTCAAATATCTAGCGATTACTATTGACTCTTAGTAAAACTTTTGAGAAAACAATTCCAAAGCAGTTCACGAAGCAGGAAGTAAATTTCTCAGTCCACAAGTCAAGAAACCAAGTTATCATTTGAGTAGTCAGTATCCTATTCCTATTTACTTTTGTAATATTTGCGCATTTTATTTTCGTGTTTCTCATGGCTCGAGTGTACTTGAAATCGGAGTTAAATGTCCGTGCCACGATTGCGTAATATCAAGAAGTCTGTCAACTTGTTAGTGAATACCAACTATTGATTATTGTACAGGCGTTGGAATCTCGTTACAATTAGTTCGCTGTGAGTGTTGTCGACGTGCAATGTCTTACAGAATGAGCCTGTGCTGACCCAATCCAAATGATTCCCAATTTTATAATGAAAAATTTCTGAAAATGTAATTTAGATCCATTGAGATACTATTAATAACTAGCTCATTTATTTCATGAAAGCAAACATCTTATTATTACAAGATTATTAACTGCATCTTAATTAGTTCATTTTGTCGTTTTGTTGCGGGCTCCCAGAATTTCCTGGAGTATTCCGTGCCTTATCCAAGATACTCGATTTGTTGATATTATTGTCGTAAACATTCCTGTACTTGCGGACATGGATCACTGATCGCAGTTTTGTGTTCATGTTGTAAAGCATCGTTTATCGAGGTTTTCCGTGTGTACTGGCACTGCTGCTATGACTGAATTACTCTCGAGTCCCTTTCTCTGATTGTTTGCGTTAATGGTAATTCCGAACACGTTGAGCTGCTTACTTTTGAAATGTTTTAACGCTTGCGTATGCTGAAGTAGTATATTTGCACGAGTGGAAACGTGATTGCGTCAGGAATTATGTCCCGGTTATGGTCTCTATCATTTAAAGATTTTTGTAGTTAGGTTTTCATTGCTGACAGAGAACCCTTTTCACATTGGATATGCTGCGGTACAAAGTTTTCATTTTATTAAAATTGCTATGAAATGACAAACCAGTTTTTTTGGGGAGGGGGTTAAATGAGCAATAAATTAGTATGCCCAGAGAATGGGGGTATTCTCACGAAACGTTGGTTTTGCCCTTTCTAATAAGTGAAGCCTACGATGGCGCAAAAATTGACTCCGATAATTTCTTCCAATTAATGATGCTGTTTTGTTGGCAAAGAGAGAGCGTGCAACGCGTTGCAATATAATTTTCTTATACGAAGACGGAAGAAGTTTTCTAATCTTTTAAAATGAAAAATCATTGAAGATTTCACGCACTTCTATTGATAGTACTTTATCTTGTACACGCGTTGCCTTATTGCAAAGATTTTCGGCTTTGTAGATACGAGTTTCAAAGCAATAAGGTTGCTTGTTATATGGACGTGTTAACTCATAAAACGTTGAAACGTGCCTGTAGCCTCGTAGACGATTATCCGCCATATGATGAGTCTGGAAGCATCTGAAGAGTATCATGATTCTTTTGCATTTCCTGTAATTCCGTTGCGTCACCTTCTTGTCCGGGAGTGGAACAGATTGCTTGCTGTGCGGAAAAGAAGTATGTAAGAGGACTGTAACTGCTAATTTATTCAGTGATGTACTGGGTTACAGCTTTCTTACTCAGCTTTGCATTCAAGTGATTTTCGTGTTCGTGAGGGGAAGTGCGAGGCCCGCGTTGGCGTCGTCTGCAATCCGCAGTCCCCACATATGTTCCCCACAAGAATGTAACATCACGCATTTCTTAAAGTAAGGCAGGTGGCGGTGAGACAAAAGGAAGTTGACCCTTTCTACAACAAGAGGTAAATCGCTCTATAATACGGCGAACTATTTATTTGTAGGCCGGTATTTGAGACTGTGATTGATAGCAAGCATTATCTAATCACATCATCTGAGTTTACCTGAATCCTCATGATGCCAGCTGCATGCGCCTGAACCTGGAGCATCTCCACATTTTCGTGGGACGGGTATCTTCACTACTTCCAATGCTCCCAGTCTACCGGAGGGTTCAGTTCCGTATGGGATAAATTCTTACTGGATTTGAGAGCGTAGGCTTCCGCGGCCGGAGTCAGTATTTACTAGGCTGTCCGGGTGACGCCGCGTCCATGGCGAAGGTGCCGACTTTTCGGTCGCCATTCTGCGACCTTCCTTAGGGGCGTAATGGATTTGTTGTGGGCCATTGCCACGGCGAGTCCAATCCGTAAAAAACAATAAGCGCCGCCGGTCTTTAAGGCTTTCGCCTCCCCCTTTCATGAACCTCACGATTACAGAGCTTTGCACTAACGACTGTGAGTATTGTCAAAAGGCTAGGCCGGCTGTTTCCAATTCTCTGCCGATGTCGAAGTCTTCCACGAATCAGACGAAAATTCGTTCGCCGGCTTAGAATACTCTCAAGTGTTAGATCAGAGAGTTAATTAAAAAAAGTCGTGTAAAATTTCGCTTTAACAACTTGTAATACCAACATCCCCTCCTGAGCCGAAAACTTTGCATTTTTGAAACTAGTTCTACCCCTCCCCTCCCCCTCCCCTCCCCACCCTCCCACCCTCCTTCCCTCCCTCCTTCCCCCTCCCTCCCTCCCCTCCCTCCTCCCCTCGCCTCTCCCTCACACACTTAGTTACAGGAGTTACATGAGTTTGAGATCTTTAAAAATATATGAAAATTTCAAACGCTATTGAAAAAAAAACAACATTCAAATTGCGTCATTAGTTAGTGTCATTTATTTCACACATTCATTCCGAATTTGAATTAATATAATAATCACTTATGTAAGGAGAGTGTTCGCTTATCAGTCCCATCTCCCTGCATCCAACGCTAGCTCCGGTCACAACTGCCCCCGTCCCCCAAAAGCGAACATATATTTGAAACCTCCTTAGTGTTTCTCACAAATGTTCGGAGCGACCTCGGACACGCGACGCATTCCGCGCTGGACGTTCGGATTGACTTGACATTTGCGGAGCTTGCTGAGCCCCGTTCAAAACTCCAAATGTATTAAGAGCTATGAAGCATTGTAAGAAGTGTTTTTGCGACAATTAGTATTCGGACCTATTCTGACCTTCCCGCAGCACGGAAATCGTCGGACGCCGCCGCGCGTTCGGTGGCAAAATTGTTTACATTTTAGATTCGCATGGAGAAAGATGTTGAACATGCCCATGAATTATTCCCTTACTATTATTATGAATATGCGTCTTCCTTAAACTATCTCGGTGTACGATAAGTGTAAACAAAATAATTACTTTTAATGAACGAATTTTTCAGAATACATGTACCTATCAAAATGCCTAAAACATTTTGAAGTCATCAAGAGCACCGTATGCAAGTTTCTTTTTCAGTTTTCATCAAAGTGGATTTGGTTTGCGAAATTCTAAAAACGAATTTCGGTTTAGTAAGAACGTGTCGTTGCGCCCTTCAAACTCAAAAGGAAACGCGCTTATGACTTCTATTGTCCGTCTTGAATGAACTAAATAACGCGCTACGAAATCTGGCATCGGTTGATCGTCGGCGCGTAACATTCTTAGTGCCGATGCACAGGTTTGGCCGCTGAGGGATGCGCGGAGATCACGTAAGGTCGCGAAACGTTTCTAAAACACTACTTGTAATATTCCATAGCATGTCAAAACTGTCGTACGTGTGTTTTGCACGGTGCCCTCCGTGGTTCGTGTGAATCGGAGTATCCGGCGCGGTGAGTGATGGGTGTGGGCGGCAGCCGGCGACCGGCGCGGGGCTCGTGCGCAGGCGCGCCGCGCGCCAAGGCGGAAGTGCGCCTCGGAAGAATCGCGAACGCGGGCGGCATTGCCATGGAGACGCCGTTCGTCTGGAGCAGCCCCCGGGAGTGACGAGAACCTGGCATAAAGGAACGCGCTGAAAGGGAATATTCGCGTGGCTGATTATTGCTGCAGGTGGCGGGTGGCGAAAGAGTTTTCAGCATATTTGGAGTGGCAGCATGGAGCGATCTCTGCCCCAAAACATGCCTACTGGGAAAAGAGCGAAGCTGCCCTTCGGTAAATTTCTGGTTGAATCAGCACTGTCGTGTGTTATCGATGGTGCAAAACAGCATGGTATTTGTTGAATCTCGTAATAGGGTGATTCCGTTCGCTATAATAATAATAATAATAATAATAATAATAATAATAATAATAATAATAATAATAATAATAATAATCTTCGCTTCTTTTGTTGCCAGAATCTTTAATGTCGTTGTTAGGAAAAGCTGTTCTTTGATGTGTGGGTGTTGTGAAAGGGAATCTTTAGAGGTATTTTTTTAAATTTTCTTTATCGTGCAGTTGTTTGCGTAGCGCCGCCGATGGTTGTTTCCGGTCTGATAAGTGATACTGAAGGTAGCAATCTTGTGTCCGCCCAGACGCCCTTTACGCCCACTGTGGAGAGGGGAGGCGGCGTAGGCGAAGGACGCGGTTTGTTTTGGTGGCGGCGGCGTCCGAACGACGCGAGCGCGGGCGGGCGGGCGAGCGAGCCAGCAGCGAGCGCGTTTTGCATTCACGCAGAGCGCGCCCGGGTCAGTGACACGGCGCAGCGGCCGCCGCTCTGCACTCCCCTCCCCTCCCCGCCCCACTCCACCCCTCTCCCACTACCTCGCCTTTCGATCTGCTGCCGCAGCTCCGACCTCGCGCCCTCGCTGCCGTCGACCGCGCGCGCCGGCCGGAACCTTTCCCAGCGAGAGCGGAGGCGGGCCGGGCTGATTGGCAAGACCGGCTTCCGAGAAATTATTTGAGATTGATTGCTGTGGAGGGAGGTACTATGAACGAAGAATAAGTCCCGTCCCTTTCGGTGAGGTTGATGGGTATTGTAACCAACATCTTGATTTTATGGAGTATTGTTTTAAAATGTGATTACTGGTATGGTTATGTGGTAAAGAAGCCTTGTGGCAGATTCTATTGGCGACGAATTACGGATTGAATGAACTTCATGCGATTTGTTAGTGTTTTAAATAGGGTAAAAATCTGTCGGTGTTCTCAAGGTCACGTCAAGGTTAAACCTGTTCCTTAGCCTTCTGATGCTGGTAAACTGTAATGATCGAACCCGAATTGGGAAGTTATTAGTCGTTATGAAATGAAACGTTTTGCGTTAGTTATTGCCAGTCATAATTTTTGTTTTCGTTGTTTGCGTAAATGTAATTTTAATAGAGGAAATTCGGAGTAAATCTTATTCGTTTGTTCATATGGAATGTACAACACGATTAACTGTGTTGAGAGCGATAAAAATTTCCAGTTTTCCTTCTGGCGGCATCCTGTCTCATTTATTCGACACCTTCCTTTCAGTAATTGACCTATATATTAAACGAAGGAAATAACCTCTTGTGAAAGGAAAACTGTTATTTGTTTTTTGTTTTTAAGTCTTCCTGTATGATGTATAAACTTCAAGTATTTTCCCTTAAAGGTCAGTTGAGTATATATTGAACATTCTTTATAGATTGGTCGTAAAACAAACATAGGGTTGTATTGCCTTTCAATTTTCGCGAATTATTTTTTTATTATATAGAACTAAAAATTGATTACATTTGTGAACAAGCTGAGAATGCTTATAATTAGGCATGTTTACTTAGCCTTTCTCCTCCTTGTAGAATACATCATACGAAGAATATGTTTTGTGAGTAAAGTATTGTGGGAGTGATTGATTTGAATATTAAAATACCAAGACAGTGTTAACTCCTCGATGATAAGATTTTAGTTTGGAAGGTGTGGCGAATATAAAGCAGAAAGCTCAGCCGGTTACTGAGAACTACTGGCTCGCAGCAGTCCCGACAGGGCGGTGCAGCGCGTGGGCAGGGGGAGGACGCGGTGGGGCGCCTGCCGTGTGCGTCGCAGGTGTTCGCGCGTCGTCACAGCCGTCGCCGCCCCCTGTCGCTCTCCTGGCAAGCGATTGGCGCCGCGGCCCGCTTGTTTGGCATCGGCGCGCACGCGAGCGAAAACACTCCGGCCCGGCCCGGCCCGAGCAGAGAGCGGGTCGTAGACCTCGGCGCGGCGCTGTGCTCCGCTCCACGTCTGGGGCGCGGAGGTCGAGGCCGCTCGCCCCCCTCCCCCTTCCCCCTCTCCTTCGGCGGCGTGATCCACGCGCCCGTAGAGATCCGCCCCACCCCGCCCCGCGGGCCGACCGCCGTCCACTGCCGGGGCTGCTTCTCCGCGCGCTTATCGGCCGTTTGTTATTGGTGTCAAGTTGGGCCGCGTATCGCCTCGTATTTCTCAGACTTTGAAGACTTGGCGAAAGGAAAGCTACCCGCTGAGATAATGGAAGACTTATTTCATACTAATAGGACACTTCTGTCAACATAAATATGGATGTATTGTGCTCATGAATGTTTGGAGAAGTTATTCTATTCGACTTCAAAATTGTGCTACAATCGTTCGCAGTGATTCATGCCAAGTCCCGACAAATTTGCAATTGTTGTAAAAGGACCAACGAGATACAATTTATCACTCATAATTTACACACCGTCTGAGTGTGTTGAGTACTCTTAGTTATTAAAACTTTGTTCGGATTTGTTTTAAAATGCCATTAACTTCAGCATTTTTAATGTTACTTGGATATTTTTTTAAAATTAATTCTGTTTTGCGGCAGTTTCATTTCGCCTTTACTTTTAACTTGCTGGCCCTTCCTTCGGTGATATTAATATTTATAAACTTCGATGATCTGACTCGACGAAAGCTGACATCTCCTCGCTCATCTACTGTGAAATATCGATGACTATAAACGCTGGAGCCAGATCTCCAAAAAAATGAGTTGGATTCGTGGAAGTCTGGAGGACGGTGCGTGGTATTCGTCTTCGAGACAGATGGTAGAGACATTTTTTCATTAAGACGCAGTGTTGCATTTCTTGCAAAGTATTCCTGTCACCTAGTGGTATGGAAATTAAGAATAAGAATGTTCTTTTAACACGCATGAGTGGGAACTAGTACTAGAATTCACTGTTGATTTGAAAGTGTTATTTCGCGAATCGCGTACGTTGAAGTAAATTAAACACTGTACCACACAGTAAACAAAACATTAAGACGACATGCGAGATGCGTGTATGGTTCTATTAATTCATATTAAAATGTACGCAACGAAAATATTTGGTAATCATATTTTAAAATGCTGGACTCCTGTTTCGTCGCCTCGTCCGTCTTTCCATTTGTATGCTAAATACTCACTTTCTCTACTAGTTCCGTGACTAACTGAATTTGTGGTACATTTCCAGTACGTTATTTCTGTGACATTCAACTACTTTGGAAGATTCCCCTCTGGGAGTTTCCTAACTCGTTCCATTGTGAATCTGGACAATGAGATAGTGATGCATCAAAGGTCAGTAAGAATACAGGAATTTTGTTCTCAGATTAAATCATTGAGGCTGAATTTCTTTTTCTGAAAGTCGCGGAGATAAATGCTATTGTTTGTTCCAAAGAGGAAATTACGGTGATCCCAGGGAGAAACTAGGAGGATGCCTTTCCTTCTAGCCTCAGCCAAGCAGTAGCATGGAAATCCTACTTCAGTCCCTTTTGTGTATTCATCCTGTTAGTAACGCCAGTGTCACTCAGCTAATTTCGAAAGTTTCCCTCTACGATCTTTCCAAGTTGTCTGGCGATGAACCATCAGGTTTGAAATGAAATCTCCCAATAATTCGTCGGATTGATTTTCTTTCTTAAATAGTCACAGGAGGAATGTGCTGATCTTTTTTTCCTTGAAAAATACCATGACAAAATAAGTTCTGAAGTGCGTTTCCTTCCAACTCACCAGCTAAATTAAACGGCGTAAAATCCTCTGCTAGAATATGATTTTCTTGTATACTTCCGGTTAGTGGCTGCACTTGGTAGCACGTTCAACAAGTTTTGCAAATTCGTCACATCGGACAATCCGTAATGTAGTGACCGTCCGAATTTCTGGGAATACCCTGGTTCGAATCACGGACGATCCATGTGAAATTTGCGGTGGACAAAGCTGTTTCACTGTGGGTTTTCTCGAGGTCTCCAATTTTCCCTACCTCGCATTGTAAAATTGTACCACCAAACATTTTATCACCCAATCCAACCAATCATTCATGCCTGGTGCAGTCAAAAAGGCTTATGTAGAGGTGATCATAATTAAGATACATATTGCTCTCCTAACAAGTTGCTGCTTTACCAGTCCTGAAACCGAGCCGATGCGAAACGCTGCGAAATCCATCGTGGAACAGTCGGAATGGCCGTCGGCCGGCGAGCCAATTGCGTGCGCGGGTGGGTCTTCGTCTGGCTTGCGCTGGGGCGCGATATCCGGGAAGCCCCACGACGCGACACGGCGCCGGCGAGCTGTTTATTAGGGGTTTCTCTCTCATCTCCCCTCCCGTCGGCTCCCGCCGCGCCCAGCTTATCCAGTAAGTTCCTCCCATGTGTATTATTTCTCCCGAACAGCGGTGGAACGTTGTGTCGTAATAGCTGGAATTTTCTTTCCGTAGGGGGAGGGGTAGAAGCTCGACTAGTGAACTTTTCACGTACACTGAACGTACAAGGCTAATTGTCGGACACCTCAAACGTTCAGTTTTACGAAGCACTTGTTATGAAATTATGAAGCACTTCTATTCGTAAGAAATGTAGAAGACCTAGATGTAATTTATTTTGTTTTTCCTCTAACAAAGATTAACATGTCTAGTGGGGGAAAAAGTGTTTCATGGACGATTGAAATGCTTCCGGACGAAGGTAGAAGACACAGGCGTACGTGTTAGATCCACAATTACTTCTCGTGATGCAATGCCCGCAGTATATAGAAAGTTGCTACAGATAAAAGATTTCGATTTTTCAACGGAAGTACACTTCTTAGGATCCCTAGATGCTGAAAATTTAAGTTGAATTTTTTTGACTTTATCGTACTACTACATCATTGAAGATTTGTTTTCATATGAAATTTGTTGTTAACAATTAGTTCTTTAATGTCTGTTGCGTTTTTTGAAGATAGGAGTTTCGCGTAATTTTGAGTGAAATATGGACAATTTGAAAATATGAATTTCTCGAAAACGGCTATATTTTTTCTTTAGGCTATACGGATTTAATACGGATAACAGAAATTAATTGTAGTTATAAATTAGGGTTGCGTTTTCTTTGTCTATTTTTTCCTTCCTTTCTTTAATTCTCCTAAATTATTAAAAACCACGGTTACCATTTAATTGACGGGTTAGTGGTGCCGGATGGGGGTGACACCATGCATACACGCGCCGTGTTTAACTGGACCTGCTATGCTACTCTTGAATACAGTTACATTGTGTTGCAGACATTTGTGCAATAATTAGTACGTACATTGTTAAATTTCCTCCAAATCTCTACACAATCCAAAGCCTGCATTTCACAAAACCAAGGTAATGTAAAGTTTCGATACCCAAGCATTGCCTTGTTTTAGGACGATTTTCTTGAAACTCGTGAGTACAATATTGTAGGGTCATCTACGAAATGCCAGACTGCAGCCTAGTCGACTTGTCGCCTCCAGGTTTTGTATAGCCCTTACTACTTTGCGGTAGGCGCCTCGCTAATGCAGCTTTCCATTCAATGGAAAATAAACGGAAGTAGTGGTTTCCATGCGTGAGTGTTGATAATGTAGTTCATTTAACATTTGCAACTGTTAAAGGGCAAAACCGCGGACTATTTGCTCATCATTGATGTTGATGTTTGTATCGGGTACAGCTTTTGCCCCCTGAAACTCTTCCTATCTTATTAACTGATACGAGAACAGATCCGAGCCACTAGTTCCATGCGGTACGAATTTTAAAATAAATTATAAAGTGCGTTTTAATTCTCACATATTCATTTTATTAAATTACCTATACGAAATATATATCCCATAGAAGAACTGATGTTATTGACTAACGAATTTAATGTGGGCTTCTGCGCGACGGGACACATGATCATGAGGGCAATAGCATCAAAATTATAGTAAAATTTTCTGAACGATCTCGTTGTGAATTGCTTTCTTTAAAATTTGTTTCTGGCAGGGTTTTTTTTTCCTTTCCTGTTTTGAGGCACCAATTCTCTGCCATCATTCAAGAAAGTGAAATCCCACTTCCGTTTCGTACTTATCATATCAAATGTTTAACTTGAATCTTCTGTACATATTACTGCTGATTAATATTCAATATCGTTTTACGTGTCGAGAAATGCAACTGAGGATTCAAGTTGGTTTGGGGAGATAGAATTAAAAGCCTATAATCCTGTGCTCGTAAACACTTAGAAGTCTAAAGCGTAATAATTTTTGTGATATGTGAAAATTAAATTGAATATTTTGGTTGATCTCATCGTTTGGATTCGTCTGTATAACGGCGAGTTAATACCGCAGCGATATGTGGCTCATAAAAGGTCTTAATGCGAATCATTAAAGGTAGGAAGTTTTAGGGGCTCCAGTATTTAGTAACACAAGACACTTACTCACTTACTGACAATGAGTCTCTTTGGACCCTTCGGATCTTCGGAAAACGTGGACGTGGTCGCGTTCTGTTCTGCGTGTGGCCCTGTTTCGAGGGTCGATGCATCCGTCTGGTTTCGTGGAAGCGAGCGGGTCTCGGTGCACGGGCTCCCGTCTCGTCTTCGTGGGCGCGCCGTATCGACTGGGCCGTTGGGCGCGTTGGCGGCCGCGTCCCACGGGTGTTCTCTCGCGCCACCTACGAGCCACCCGCCCCGCCCCTCCTTCACTGCCCTGCCCCTCCGCGCCATTCCCCGCCATGGCATTCTCGTCCGCAGAGAAAAGTTCTCGGGGATTCCGCGTTTCGTCCAGCTGCAGCTGCTCAAGATGGATGATCAAGCCCGCAGGTGCCTGCCTATACTTGTTTGTTTGGATTAAGACCTCCCCCCCTTAACCCAGAAGGGCTTTTGCCGTTATAGAAGTTCGGGACAACTTGAACATCTTTTATATTAATTGATAGTAAGAAAGAGGTGTTCTAATATGAACATAGTCCTCGGGTAATACTTTTAGTTAACATTTTACAATAATTTAAGTGTATATTTCGTGTTACAATGTCACAAAGTAGTGTTTTTGCAGAACTTTCATTAAAACACAAATTTCCTAAACGCAAAACAAGTTTTTTTTGCGTATGGTGAGTTAACGCAGGTAATTTATTACTGTTCGTTTGCTTCATTGCAGAATGGATGGAAATGATTTTTAGATTCGTATACAGGACCTTGATTTAAGAATTACTTCAACTAAATAATTGATTCGTCGGAATGTATAAGCCTTGTAGCAAAATTTTCGTATAGTTCTTCGAATAAGATGCTAGTTTGTCTTCACATTATAATACATTACTGTATACTATAAATATTCTGTCGTAAAAGTCTTACCGTATATGTCTGGGGTGTGGGGAGAACGAATGAATGAAATTCATTGTGGTTGATAGCGAGGAATGGATATTCCTTTCTAGTTTCAGTAAAACACAATGTTATTACAAACGTAATTGAGAAGTTTGGTGCTTTCTCCGTTGGAGGCGATGAATTACGTTCCAGAACAAGGTTGTCCTCTTGGCGGTCAAAATTGAAAGACCCAGACCATTGCATCCGTGTCGGGTAGGAACATGGGAACACGCGCTCTGTCGGGGTCAACACTAGCTTAATGTAAACATAGGTTAGGTTAAGATTTAATGATTTTTCTCTAGTAAATTCAGAAATTCAAAATGATCCCAGAAAAGTTCCCTGCGTTCTGGGGCGGGCAAGCGACGATCCCCGCTCTCCGGTTCGGGGCGTGCGGTGGGCGGCGTCTTATCAGCGGCGCAGGCGTGCGGAGCGTGGGCGGCCCCTCGGTGCATTGCGCGGCGCGATTGCAGCGCCCTGCGACGCGGCTCCCCTAACCACAACCGAATCGGCGATTTCGAGCAGCTGTTTGGGGTGCTTATGTTGATGGAGACCGCCGTATCTCTTGTGTAGTCAATCTCGAAGTGCGATCGCGGAGAAGAGTATTTAATACGCTTGAACCTTGAAAACTTGTTTTTTCATGTCTTCATTTTCTCTACACGCTTTGGCAACTCGAACCTTGATAAATATCTTTACGATAACTCTGACTTCTTTTTCTCGAATGATAATTTTTCACTGAAATTGTTCTGGTATATCTTGTAAGAAAAACAATCACGTTTTACCCTGATAAGAATCGCCGAGTGATGTTAATGCTCTTTATTTTACCATTAGCTAATTCGTCAGACAAGTTAAATGAAATCTTGTCTAGTAAAGCATTTTATTTTCCATGGGCATGCATGTTCATTGTTGAAATTCTATCACATTTTGAGATGCCTTTGTAGCCATGCAAGAAAGAGACCAGCTTTTGATCAACAGGTTTTTGGCAAACATCCCAGGTCGAAAATCCAAAAGCAAACCGCTCGTTTATCGTATTTATTTAACCTCAAAAAGTTGTGTGTGCGTGTGTGTGTGACGTATGGCGAGTGCCATTGAGAGTTATTAATCTGTACTAACGCATAACACGCGCCGTGGTTTGGCTCGAGCGGTTTTTGGAACTACCCTCGCGGTGAATTAAGAGTGCGGCTCGCAGGGTACGCCGGGAAAGCGACAGAAGTAAAGCTAGTGTAAGACCGGGCGCAATTGCCATTAGTTTGCCTGGCCGAGGGTGCGGTATATGCCGAAATTGTGCCTGGCCCCGCGCCACTTGGCCCGAGCGCCGCCGCGACGGGGGCCGTGACCCGCTCTTCCCCGCCAGTCTTGCCTCTCCCGTCTGCCCCCCCCCCCTTCCTTCACCCGGAGTTCATCCGTTTGTGTGGAAACGCCTCGTGCTGCTTGCTCTTCTGGTTCTTCTGAACTCGTTTAATCGATTCCTTCAGAAGTTCAAACGGATTACATGTAGAAAGTTGGGCCGCACGTGTAATACGCCTCATGGTCACCGTGGAGAAGCATCCTTAGGTTTTTGTCTTATTTGAACACTAAAGGGATATTTAAAACGAGTGCATTAACTGCACTTGCAGTTTCTGACGCATTCGTAGTGTAGTATATATTGCTATTTTGCTGTAACAATGGAGAAAATTTCAGATTTGTCCGCTTGATATATCGGTAAGAAAATTTTGTTTGAATAGCTCCCGTTGCCCTGACAATGTCATTTGTTATTTAAAAATGTAGCGTAGGAGAATAAAGAGGCGCATCTGAGTCTCGCCACAAATATACATTATTATTATATTTATATTATTACGTTAAACTGTCTTTATCTTTGATACTAATTCAGTTTCTCTTACGAGTTAAATTCAGGCTAGTTGCATGACTTCGTCGCGTAGAAACTGTTCACAGCCACCAAGGTGGGAAAGGTCAGAGGGAGGGATGGACCGGGCCAGGCCAAGTAAATTCAGGTTTGCCACAGCTTAGGCACCTATGCACTCTTCCACGCGCTCTTACACTTCTTTATGCGAACTTCCTGGTAATCTTTCAATTTATTTAGATGAAAAGTCATATTTTTCAAGTTCAGGAAAAAGTGTGGAATTTCGTAGTAATTGACACCACTGCAACGTCAAGTTGAGATGACTATCCCTTTGGTGCCAAGTGCGCCAGACGGTAACTGACATTTTCTTCAGCGCTTGGGCATAGGTCCTGGCATACCGTGCGCTCTTGCTCGGGACTGGGAGTACTTTGGTGGAGCAGCCGCAGCGCGCGAAGTGGGTCAGAGGCGGCGGCGAGCAAATGCGCGTGCGAGAGCGCGCGCGCGCAGGGAGGCAGCGGCGAGGCGGGCGGAGCGTGGCAGCCGTTGTCAGGGCGACCTACGACCACGCGCGCCGCCGGGTTTTCCGCTCAGGCTCGTTGCTAACGGCCGCCCCGCGCCCCGCGCCGCCCCGCGCCGCCCCCGCGCCGCCCCGGCGCCGCCCCGCGCCGCGCCACGCGCCGCCCGCCCGCGCCGCCCGCGCGCCCGCACGCGCTCCACCCCCGACCTGGCGCACGGGCTTCCGTTCAGACTCAGTCGTCGGCACCCCGGACCGCCTCCGCCTTAACGCTCTCCATCCCCGCCGATACCTGCTGGATTAGCTAAATGCATGAACGCAACCGGAGCAGCACTATTGCTCCAACCAGTGGTGTGCGAAAATTCGAAGCTCAAATTCTCACAGGTGAAATGCGCACGTCATATGGTTTGAAACTTATAGTTTTAAAATTAAAGTACTATGGGTTTGATAAATGTAATATTCATTAAACATACTGCGCGTGTAGATGTAATAGTATTTGTAAGGTTTATTTTGTTAGTGGTTTCGTTTCTGCAGTTTATGAAAAATATATTTCTTTTCCTGAAAAGAGATGTTTTCATCCAGACATCATCTCTCCTGAAATTTCGTTAATTTTTCTGACCGTAACAGGGATCTTTTCGACATTAAAGAGCTTATGTTTTTTACTTCTCTTGTTCGTTTTTCTGATTCGTGCTGGTCCACGCACTATTAATTTTATCTCGTTTTTTATTCCTTCGGCATTGCAATGAAAATGTGTTTTCTGTGATTAAAATAGAATTTTTAAAGTTAATTCATGTCCACATTGTGAACAGAAATTGTCACGTGACTAAATCATAACTTTCATCTGCCTTGTAATTCTAGTTGATACACAAAAAAATACTTCTATATTGAATTTCCTGTATCCCGGGTATCTTTATATTATTTTCCTATGGATAAAAACTAAATCCAAGGTAACGATTTTATCCGAATCGCGTTGGAGCCACTTCGCCTCGGTTGTGAGGTTTGTGTTTTATTCATAAATATGAAAATGTTGACAGTGAGTTAAGACATTCTGTCATAGGAATCCCTCAATCTTCATTTTTACTCACCTGAAATGTATAGTGTTGAGAAGATATCTTTCCGAAAAGAGACTTTTACTTCTTTTTCACATCTAAAAAATACGTTTGCCGTTGTAAGTGGTGTGTTTAAAGAAGTGAAACTCCGTCGGTGACGCACTTATCTGTTGATACATTGTGAGGATCATTTTCACATGCCTTGTTTTCAACCACATTTCGTTGAGTTACGAATGAACTGGTGATTATATTAGTTAAAGGATATCTGAAGGCAGCTCCCATTATTTTGAAACACAATTTGAGTGTATCGATTAAGTAGCGCCAACATGTATATTCATAGACAATACATTTTGGGTACAAAAGTTTAGTATGCCTAATCTGAGATGGTAATCGTAGTATCTGAGTAGAAACTAGAAAAAAAACGACATAAAGTACACTTAATATAACTTTACCAATATAACATCCCGCTTTACTCGTTTTTTAAATGCATTTTGCACTTATCATCTATATGATTTGAAGGTATTTTGTCTGCGGCGAGTGTTGGAAGGTAACTTTTGTCTGATCACCAATGTATGGAAGATGACTTATTGTATTGTTTGCTCGCAGGGTTACAACACCCCCATCTCCACTTCGATGGCATCAGACCCTTACATGTCCAACTACTATGGCACGTCGTTCCCGTATCAGGCGTTCGGAGTGGGCGACGGCACGTGGTCTAACGGTGGCGACCCAATGACCTTCCTGGGCGGCTATGGCGGACAGATGGGCCATGATTCGTACGGCATGGACGGCATGTTCGGCGGCGGCGGCGGAGGCTTCGGCACCGCCTTCGGCCAGCCCGCGGCGGCGGCTGCTGCGGCCGCGGCCGGCTTCAACTACTTCCACGGCAACGGCGACTACTCGACGTGGGGCAGCTCGGCAGCCGCCATGTCCCGCAAACCCCACTACGACGACTACTACCGCGGCGACGGCATGTACGGCGCGGCGGCGGCTGCGGCCGCGGCCACGGCGCCCGGCGTGGGCGGGTCGGCCGCGGGCGGTGTAGACGGCCTCAAGGCCGTGGAACAGGGCATGCAGGGCCTGGGGCTGTCGGACGGGTCGGCGGCGGGTGGCGCGGTGGGTTGGGGCGCCCGCGGGCGTCAAGGTGTCTGCGGACGGAAAGGACTGAAACAGGGTGGCGGGCCCGGCCCCGGCGACGCCGGCGTGGGCAAGCCGTCAGGCATGGACGTGGGCATGGGGGGGCAGTGCGATGGTGAACGTGCAGGCGACAGCTGTTGCTCCGCGCCCGCGCACAGCCCAAGAAGATGACTTGGGCGACGATCGCGGGCCAGCCTGCGAAACGCAACCGCAGGTGACGTCGGGAGGCATGAAGAAGAAGGGACCCGGCATGCACGCCGCCCGTGTGCCGGGCAAGCACAACATGGACATCGGGACGTGGGAGGCAAGAACGGCGGCGGCGCGGGCGCGGGAGCGTTGGGCGCCGGCAAGCAGCCCGTGGGACCACCGCCGCCCACGGTGCGGCCCGCTTGGGGCGGGCCGGTGCGCGGGGATGGCGGCGGGGCGGCGGCGGAGGGCGCGCCGCGGCGGTCGGGCGCGCCCCCGGGGGAGGGCGGCGCGGCGGCGGCAGCGGCTGCCGCCGCGGCCGCGGGTTTCCGCCGCCGGCGGTCCCCTCGCCGCACCACCGGGCCCGTGCCATCCTGGCGGGTCCTCACACCCGGCGCACCACCACATCCCATCGGGCGCCGGTCACACGCGGGCGCGGTGCGGGCGCCAGCGCGCCGCCGCCCCGCCCATCACACATGCAGCGCGCCACCGGCGCTACGCGCAGCGCCCCCGCACGCGGCTGCAGCCGCTGCGGCCGCGGCCGCTGCCGCCGCGCTGGTGCCGGCGCCTCTGCCCTCGCACCCCGTGCTGGACGAGTTGCGCATCAAGAACAACTACAACCCCACGGACTTCAACCTGTGTGCGGAGGGCGCGCGGTTCTTCGTCATCAAGTCGTACTCGGAGGACGACATTCACCGCTCCATCAAGTACGAGATCTGGTGTTCCACAGAGCACGGCAACAAGCGCCTGGACCAGGCGTTCCGCGAGCGGGAGGCCGAGGGGGGGATGGTGTATTTGTTCTTCTCGGTGAACGGCTCGGGCCACTTCTGCGGCATGGCGCAGATGGTGTCGCCCGTGGACTACCACGCTACCAGCTCGGTGTGGTCGCAGGATAAGTGGAAGGGACAGTTTCGCGTGCGCTGGATCTACGTCAAGGACGTGCCGAACGTGCAGTTGCGACACATCCGGCTGGAGAACAACGAGAACAAGCCCGTGACCAATTCCCGTGATACGCAGGAGGTGCCCTTCGAAAAGGGGAAGCAAGTGCTCCGAGTGCTGCACATGTACCACCACAACACCTCGATCTTCGATGACTTTGTGCATTACGAAAAGCGCCAGGAGGAGGAGGACAGCCGCAAGGTGGCGGAGGTGAGCGGAGGGGGCGGCGGCGGCGGTGGAGGCGGTGGTGGCGGCGCGCGGGGAGGCGCGGCGGGCGCGCAGCAGGGCCCGCCGGCGGGCGGCGAGCGCGGCTCCAACCAGGGCCGCGGCGACCGGGGCGGCGGTGGCCACGCGGCCGGCCAGAAGGTGAGGCCGATGGTGGGTACACCCTTGTGCGGAGGCGGCGGCCACGGTAGCCACGCCAGCACCAGCGCCACTGCGATCTCCCTCTTGGCAATTTGTGTTAACCATTGCTATTTCTTTATCTTTCTCCTCTCTGGTCCTTGCCCTTTTCTATTTTGTTCTTTGTTTTATTATTATTGTTGTTATTATTATTATTATTATTGATGTTATTATTATTATTGTTATTATTATTATTATTATTATCATTATTATTATTATTATTATTATTATTATTATTATTATTATTATTATTATCATTATTATTATTATGTGAGGGGGTTATTAACCCACATAGAGAGTAGTGGTGCACAATGAATCTCTCTTCAGTTGGTATGCTAGACTCGCACAGGCCTAGTGAAGTAAAGTGTTTTAGTAGATGTTTGAGTAAAGCACCTAAAATTCTCAATTCTTACTGAGTCAACTGTGACCATCCCATGAATGTTCACATGTGGGAGATCCACGTTGCTTGAGCAGTAAGTTATTTTCTTTTTGTATTTAGATGATATTATTTGTTGTTGTTGTTTTTTCACTAAATTCACTGACCCCCCCGTTTTGTGTTTAACATTTGTTTGTTTCATTTCTCCATTTTGCTAGAGATCCACTGAGGATGGGAAAACTTTTTTCCCGAAAGTTAACTCTGGAAAATTGTTAATAAAATTATTAAAACTTTGTGGAGATTATTTCCTTTACAATACCATGGATTACCACAAGATATCCGCTACCACTACGGAATTTATTCAATTTATTTATTCTATGTAAACTACATTTCTTTCATCAGAAACATTCTAACATTTTTCAAGCAGGCCTTCCCTGCATGATGTTAAAAACTCTTTGATGTACTCTAAATTAGAGTAAGTAATGTCGTTTGCATACCATAAATTAATCAGGAGATGAAAATGAAATTCTTCGGGTAAAAGAAAAAGGAAATACATCAAAATGTTGAGATGAAAAGACAGTTAAAATGAATGTAATATTTTAATATATGTTATATTTATTTTAATATATGTTATATTTATATATTTAATATATGTTATAACCAAATTAAGTGATAATACAGTGTTTTAATCAACAAATTTTTAAACAACAATTTTTGAATTGTTTAATGTGTGTGTTTTTATTTAATGTACTAATCTACTGAAAATTGTCTGGATGAAACATGAAATAATACACTAATGACAGTATGCCAAAACAAATCTAACACTGTAACATTTGTTGAGAAATTTTGATATCCAAAAATTAAATACATTAATGGTTTTGTGATAATTGTGAACAACAGATTGAGTAGTTTCGCCTGTATGCTTGTCAGTTGTTGAGTCACTGTGATGATTCAGGCATATGTTTGCTTTGTGCAGTCTATGCTTGCCATAAGAGACTATGGTAAAAAAAAAAAAAGGACTTCATAACATTTCATGCAAAATTAGTAGAGCAGTAGTCAAAGCACTGAAATGGTTTCTCAAACATCCAATCTTTCTCACATAAACCATACGATTACTATCAACAAGTAATTTAATTATGTTTGTCCTAATTGTAATTATTGCTTATGTCTACATCCACACTACTTTTTAATCTGCAAAAGTATGTTAGCTGTCTAAAACAGATCCTTTTAACCTGAGTTAAGTATTATCATAAGCATATTGGCTTGGAAAGTAATTTGAAAGTAACATGGAGGCAGAAAATAATCAGATTGTTTTCTGACGTTTTCTTTGAATTCCACATTCAAGTAAAAACTATTAATTTATTATGTAACTAGGCCTAGCTTGATTAGCATGTGAAAACAATTGCTTCCTTGCATGTGCCAATAAAATGGCAGGAGGGGGAAAAAAAAGAGAAAAAAAATCCTTTCAGAGATATTCAAATTATTGCATTCAGTAAGTCTATAGATGAAACGATGTAAATTATACATGCATGCATAGATTAAATTAAACAAATGTTTAAACCAGCAAATCACAAAATTAACCCATAATTTGGAACAGACTTCATATAATTTTTATAGGTGGTTTCTAGTAATAATTTTGACTTTATTATGTGACTAATATTGGTTATAGTAGCTACTTGGCTATCTGGAAATCGCTGCGTCCTAGGCAGTGACAAACGTTTTGGCCACCATTCTGTGATCTTCCTCAGGGCGAGATGCCTACTCTTAAATATTTATTTATTTATTGTTATATTTCAGTTGACGTATGGAAAATGCTAAATAACAAATGGTAAAATGTTTAATACCTGCTATAACAATGATAACACATATGCATGTAAATTACAACTTTACATGCATAGTAATTCAAAAAGAAATTTGTGTCACTACAAATGTGTCAACTGTAATATATGATTTTGTTTTTCGCATGTTTACATCGTGATCAAACTATCATCATTTCCAGATAATGAATATTGATATTATTTTGTATTATTTACAAATTTTCTGTGAAATATTGTTTTGTTAGAATAATATTAAGAAATGTTATTTCTTTACACATCCTCTGTGAAATATTTTCAGCTTTTACATGAGGTGTGCAGGGCCTTATTTCGTTGAAGTTCTCAGATTTCTTTAAAGTATTCTCCAAGAGATCATAAAAGTGAATTGGTTTCAAATTACTTCACTACCAATACTGTCAATACATGAAACGTTGTTTAGTTTTTTAAGAGATTTAAGAGAACTAATGTTAGCTATTTGCGAATACTCTTAGGAGATAGTAGATGGCAGTTTTAAAGATGCATGCAAGAAATATTTGTTTTTTCTGTAACCAATAGTGAAAAATCAGATTGGATAGGCAACACTGACTCAAACGGTCAATTACAAGGTGTGCAAAGTGGAGAAGCATACAAAACCAAAAGCATTGATTTAGTAAAACCAAGAATTAGCAGATCTTTTTGCCTGTAAGTGATTAGGAAATTTGGAAAATTGGAAATTTCATAACAAATTTCCCATTGTTTAAAAAAACACTTTTGCTTTGCACCAATTTGATACATCATTCAGCTTGTAATTTCATTCAATTTATGAAACCTTGAATTGCCTTGTAGAGCTTGAAAACCTCGAGAAAGAGAGAAAGAGAACACTACTTAAGTTTAATTTGATTTATGATTTTAATGAAAAGTAATTGCTCTAATGAGACCCGTGGGAAACACTCCAGTTATGAAATGTTTAGAGAAGAGATTTGTATCTGACTACTTTTCACAGTTACGTAAAATGTTAATCAATTTAATAAGTCCTTTACTTCTCATGAATCTTTACAAATTAAAGAGCAAAGAATGAAATCTTGCATTCGCGATAGGAAAGTATGACAATAGATCTCAACTTTTGAAAAGTTTAACTTTGAATGCCAAATAGAGGTGTGGAAAGCATTTCAGTAACGAATGCCCCTCTATTTGAAAGTATAAGTTTGAACTTCTAATTTCAACTGTGTTGTTTTTGTCTTTTACAGTTGAGTGGGTTTAGATTATTGTTTGCACTTCAATCAACTGTATATTCTGACCAAGAGAGAAGTTTTGTGGTAATAATTATTATGAAAGGATTTTTCCAACTGAAAGCTATACTTAAGATTAAAAATAATAATAAATAATAAATAATAATAATAATAATAATAATAATAATAAAAGAATAGTTTTTCAGCTTCTTGGAAGAGCATAACTGCTGTAGGGGAATAGCATTTCAGTATATTTCATAAACAAATATACCAATATATGAACTTACAAGGGAAATGCTATTGCTGTGGAGCTTGCTGTGAAGGATAGTGCAAGGGATGATTCTGAAGATTGCAGTTAAAATAAATATTTTCTTCAAATTTCAGTTCAAGCAAAATAATGTCTGAAAGTTTCCATTTGGTTCAGCTAAGCTTTCTGGTCTTCTTGCCACTTGTGCACCAAATTATTAATTCATTTAATTTTTTTAAAAAATGTGTTTCAACGTGCTGAGATCACCACAATACTAAGATGAGGACTCTGCTTTATATATTATTTTTCCATCCTCCAATACCTTTTTTATATTATTTTGAGTCCTGTTTTATATGACATTCCTTTTCAAATATTCAATTATTGTGTAGATTTAATGTGTCCATTATTTTTTGCATGATCATAAGTTCAATATTTTTTCAGAAATTAGTTTTTACATAAGAAATTGTTTATACTAGTTTCTCTGAATCAGTTAGGGGGGAAAATTTAATTTTGAACATTAATATGTCTTAACTTGTAATTATTTAAATCTTGGTATTATGCATTAACCGTTTTATACTCCTTCAAAATACATTTTAATGAATGATTTTCATTCTTTCAGGATCGTGATGGAGGTGGTGGCCGAGGTCGTGGTGGAAGAGGGGGAAGGAATTAATGTGGATGTTGTGCCACCTCTTAGCTTACTCCAGTTATACTATGTATGTAAAAGTTTGATTTTTAAAAAGAAGTAACTTCTGTATTAGAAGTGGATTTTTCCTTCACTTTTGTTCTTCTAGAAGAGATTTGTATAAGGACTTGTTCTGTGTGTAGGACGAGCAATGGTTTATCCAAGCATTTGCATCTTGACACATTTCTACAGAAACTGTTATTCTAATTACATTCTTATTTTCTTCTTGATCTTCGTGCAGTGGAAAAAGTATAAGACAATGTTATAGGATTGGAGCAAGATGTAACGGTCCCATTTGTTATTGTGCAGCAAATGCTGTCAAGACTGAAGATTTATTTTTGAAAATATGACTTATGTCCAACAATTGAAAGCAGAGAGAGATCAGTTCTGATTTATGTACTGTAGTATAGTTTCAGATTTGTATTGGTTGTATTGAATAAACTGGTCTTTGTGTGTTTAAGTCACTGTGTTTCTGGTGTTTGCCCAGAATAGTGTTTATGTTACTTAAAATCAAATGTGTTTTAAATACATTGTGAACTCTTCAGTCTTGAGTGAAGAACAAGCCATTATTTCGTCAGTAACTGCTCTTGTGACTGTGGGGCTCTTGTCTCAAGTCTTCATCCTTTAGCATGGCAGTGTTGACAGCACTTCTGCAGTCTGCAGTCTATTTTCATTGATGTTGTTTTACTGTGCTGTAATATTAATAATTCATTGTTGGGCTTGGAAACTTTTCATGTGTCTTAAGGAGGAGTTTAATTTTTTATTGTCCTATTTTTTTCTTCTTAGTTTTGCTTTTAAATTCTTTATATATTTATCCAAATAGGATTCACATAATCTTGAACATTTCATCGGAAGGGCTGGGATAGGGTTGGAGGAAGAAGTTATGTGCATTAACTTACTTTACGCTCCTTTAGTAAGAGCTTCGTTTTTGTTGAATGGGTACCTAACCAAATAAGTTGAAAGAAATAGCTGTAAAATGAAAAGGTTGTTTTGTGTGTGTTTTAAAGTGTGTATATTTTGGCTCACCTGTAAACTATTGTTCATCTGCTGATTATTGTGTAATGTGTGTCTTGCCTTGAAAAGGTAAAAAAAATACTTTTTGGGATATTCCTCTGTGTATTTCATTATTATTTTTGGTATATATTGTGTATATTATATTAATATATCAAATTAATCCTGAAAGCTTCATGAGCTCAGGAGAAGGAAAAAACTTGTTTTGAATTGTTAAATGGAAAAAAATTTCTCCCCACCATGGTTTTGATTTTTAGAAATCTTACTTAAACCTGTGTGTTATCAACTGTTTTGGTATACGTGAAGATGTAATCCACTTTGTAATGTGCAATTACATTATATTCATATAAAATTCCAAGCAATTGATCTTTGTATTTTAGTATCAGTGTTGCATACAAATGCTTGTAATAGAAGCTACATATTTACAAACTTGTACTAAAGTATATATGATCTGCATTGTTGGAGAAAAAATTACTTTACTCATAACCATGAAACTAAATGTTTGGTTTGAATGTTTATATGGCATTTGTAAATGTTAATTGTTAAAATTGATTTTGTTAGATGAATGTCTTTAATTACATGACAAAAACAATATTTACATAGACCATAGTGCTGTGCTAATATCATCTATTAAAGCACTTAATCTGTTATTTAAAAAAGAAAAAGCTCACACACTGACAATATACAACTATGGCACGTGTAAATATTGAAAATGTGGACTTGTCTGCTTTTGGTCCACATCAGATGTTACCTGTTGGGAAATATGTGTGCTCTTAGATTTTGCTCATCTTATATGTGGGTACTCATCTGTTTGCCTTTTAATATACAAAATATTGTATGTATATGCCAACGAGAAGGCTCACAACGGAGTTAGAATGATAACATTCAATTCCTCCAACCATCTCACTGGAAATTCTGCAACCTTTAACCATGCAATGCACTCTCGTCCTACCTGTGTATTCATATATAGCGCACAGCATGAAAAGTGTGCTACCCTTTATCCAGCCAAAGTTTGCAGATTATGTTAGCCCTGTTTTCTTGCATAACTTTCAGAAACTTCACTTTTGTGCATCAGTAGTAGGAAGGTAATGTTATTATGTATTTTAGTAAAATATTGAGTTTTGGTTAGATGGTGTGTTCATAAATTTGTAGTTGCTTGTGGGTGGATTCTTGTGTTGCTTTGAATCTTAATTGAGGGAGAATTAATTATATTTATTTGTCACATTAGTATGCTTTGCCAAAGACATCATCATTAAAGGTTTCTTACAGACAGTAGACGCATACTCAAAATTTCTATTACCCTGTCGGTTCTTTTCTTTCCTATTTGTGTATTAATGAAATAGATTTTTCTGGAGAAGGTGCAATAGGTTTCTGGAAGTATTATTCATGTGTTTCCTTGTCAGGTTAACAACCAAAAAGCAAACTTAGCTCAAGACAAATCTTGTAGTGTCCAACTACAGCTTTGAAAGCTTGCATGGGCCTTGATCATCTATTTATATTGTAGGTGTCAGTTGTACATTTTTGTGCCTGTGTTACAGTTTAATCACACAATATTTGTAGCATATATAAAAAGCTACAAATATCGTTAATATTTCTTTAATAGTCATTGTCAAACTAACTTAGGTCTTTGGTTTGTTATCGGTTCTGCATAGATTTATGTAAGGTGGTGTAGGAATTGATGAATGTAGGTGCAACATTTGTTTTGCAATTAATAGAAGGGAAGGAAAAGAAAGATGCTTGCCTTTTACTATTTTCGTAATTATATTTACATGTTCACATAACATGTGTGGTTATGTTATGCAGATTTCATTTGAATGTGCTAATACACTTATTAACATTTTCCTGCACATGTTGTATTTCTTTTAGAGAATTTGTGTGGGAAGGTAGATTTCATATTGTCTTGGGCATAGTTTGTAGTTCATCAGTTCACAATCCTCTCCTTACCCTTTGGCCCACCTTGTTTCCTTGTAACTTTTTATCATGTTGTGTATTTGTGATCTATATAAATATATATACATGCATATATATTATACTTCAATGATCAACTTCAATTTTTTTGATGGTTGATTGGAACTTTTAACAATAATTATATAATTAATAATGATACATTAATCTTGATGATGAAATGGTGGGAATAGTTTGTTTTGTTTATTTTTGAGTATGGGAAGAACATTTGTCACCTATGGTTATGGTCTATGAGAGATGTAAGCAGACTAATATTAAATAGCAGGAGAAATAATAAGATAATACAAAAGTAATGGGTTATTATAAAGATGTTAAGATTTCACCCAGTTTTCATTGGAACTTGTACTGTGTAATTTCTTTTCTGCGAGTAACTCTGGTAGAAGATTGGATCCCACTCGCTCGGATCAATTTCTGATAACAGTAAAGGCAACATATTGTTCAGTGATATATGCAGATGCATTTCTGGGTGGGGGGAGTATATACAACAATGTATATGGATGTAGAAATAATTTATACATGTACATGTCTGAATTCAAGACCTTTTAGATATAAAATACTATTGTAATGGAAGAACTAGTGTATTTCTTCTGGGAGGGGGGATAAAAGGGCTGGGTGGGTAGAATGCTGTTATAATCTGGAGCTGGAACTGTGGCACACAAGGAACCAAGACGCGAAGGAAAAGTTGGAGTGATGGCAAGAACTTCAAGAAATGTTAGATGAAGACGCTGACGACTGAAAGAAAAGTGTAGTGCTGGATTTATTAGCAAATTCCTGATAATTGAACAGTGGAATAAATGAGTATGTACTAACATCTTAGTGCACTTTATACTCCTTGTTTTTGTTGATTTTTTTATTGAACCAAGGACTTGGAGAAGAGAAGTTATCTTTGTGGTGGTGTGGATTTCCATTTCTACAGTGGGTTAGACTATGCAGACAGAATTTACCAACATTGCTTAGCTAACGGAAGTCACTATATACTACTTGTTTTCTTTATGAACTCAAAAGCAGAACTGTTGAAAATGGCTTTAAATCATAGAAACAGCTGCATTTTACTAATAAATATACCCATTGTGAATGGAAAGATACGTTCAAGAAATTTAATACAAAAATGAACTTGAAAAATATAAGACATCAAAGAACTGGTATTTAACAAGAGTGAGTAGTGTTGTTACAGATTTATTTTTTTATGAAAGATTCTGTTTGTTTTTGTTTCCTATACAGAGTGGAAAAGAACTTCAGAATCCTTGTTGATTTGATGTAACTATTTTCTTTAGATATCACAGGATATTACAAATCATCGAAGGTATAAAAACCTTAGTGAAAAGTAAGAATGTATAAAGAACATTTTTGGACTTGAAGTAAAAGAGACTGCAAATAAAATTTTACTCAACCTGTAAATTAAAGAATTATATACAATAGCAAATATCAAAAAGAGTAAGGATTTATTAATGAAAGACTTAGTGCCTGGTTTGACTATCTGGTACATTCTTCTTACTTTTTCAAAATAGCAACAGTTAATTATTCCAGTGAATTCCAGTGAATTGAACTTTCAAAAGTCAGTAATAACTGTTAACATGCTAATAAAGGAAAGTTGTGAACTTTTTTAAATATAAAGAGTCAACTAATGGACCTCAATCAATTGGTAGCGGACACTATCTTGATCAAGAACGATGAATTTGCGTGTGCTGTTCTTTGCGTGTGGTTGTCGAGTGTGATGTGCAGCAACAGGCAGGAAGAATATTCACAGCAGAAGATGGAAAGCTTTGAGAAGTCGACTTGAATCGATTATATTGTTAAAACAATTTTATGTTGAAATTGCAATTGAAGGCTTACAGATATTTCTTAGAAATAACTGAAAATCGCATATAATGAATTTTGTGTTCCTATTATTTATAAAAAAATTGGTATATAAAAGCATGTAATAGCCTTCCAATGTAAAACCATGTTACATTGAGTTACTAATGTATTTTTTTATGTATTTCAATGAGAAATGATTCAGAAATATCCTTTGGCAAATCATTATTTGGGAAGGATTGCAAATGATGACTGTAACAAGTCGCAATGATTGAAGTAATAAGGGTTTTCTTTTCTGTGTGAGTGAGCTCGAAGTAAACTTTGCCCATTTTTTTATATATACTTATTTCGTTTGATTAACAATGGCTGAAGGATAGTACAGCATATTTATGTGCAAATAATTCCACTAATGCAGTTCATTATGCGTAATGTAAGTACTGTGATTGTGTTATATTGTGGTTCCTAATTTGAATGGGTGTAAAATCTGCCATTCAGAGATGCATAGTAGTATTTTCATTTGGTTAAAATCTGCTAATGTTGACATTGCTTTGTAAATTTTTAATACCAAGGCTGTCTAGAATGTTTGGGAACATTAGCAGCTTAATTTTCTTGTTTTGAAATTCCAGACGTATACTAAAGACTTTATTTTGGCCTAATTTGCCTGCTTGCACATTATGCATCTAGAAAGAACTATTAAAACAAGTTTTGTTGAGTTTTTTAAATTTTTTCATTGAAGATATCAATAAAAAATTAGTACAATAAAATTTTGAACTTAATATTAGTGATACTCCTTAAAAAGCTATATTTTAATTTTCAGGACATAATTAGAGGATGATATGTTGCTCATTACAAATTAATGGAGTAAAGATAATACACAATTTTTTGTGGCTGTGTGTTTAATAAATGAAGTTGCAGTTCATTTCTTTTTATTGTTCCATGTTTGAAGACTTGTGCCCATTGATATCTAATGGCATTTTAATCATTAATGAGGTAGGCAATACTATAGTGTTTAGTTACTTGAGATGGAGGAGGATTCTAAATTTAACCGCAAATGCCGTTCAAATATCGTTTCAGAGAACATAAAAGTAAAGTGAAAGGAAATGGGCAAAGTTTACCCGATCCGACTAGTGGGAATTATTGTTGATAGCTGAATAAAACCATCAAATAGAAAAATGTTATGCGCATATTGAATTTTCCATGCTCTGATATACCTTTCCTTTTTCCTTGTAAATTGCCTTTGTGTTTAATGTAGTTGAGAGATGCTTGAAATGTATAAACATTCAATAGAAGTTTTTTGATAAAAATATCCTGTTATATTCTTTGTGCCTTACATTAAGGGATGCTTTCAGGTGGGGTTTTGTTTATGTTACAGTTCAGGTTTTTGGAAATTTGTAATGAAAGAATAAGATTAATATACAATTTTATTAAGAAATTTTAATTAGTGAATGTTATAGAAACATCAGAAATTCAACTAAACTACACTGCATCACGTTTCTATGCTTCAAAACATTCAATACAGTTATAAAATTTAATACCATAATAAAAACTGGGTTCATTCACTGAGCCTGATATGTATTTCAGAAGATATGAAATCAATACAATATAAAAATGTTAGTGCACACACATTTCAGTAGAGTTCACAACCATGACAAAAGATTGATGTGCATATTGTAGTTTGTGCTTTTTCTTCAAGATGGCACCATAAATTGAAGTGCCCTGAGTTAAGTACATCTAAACATTTTTTATGGCTTTAGTTTTGTAATTAATGTTTTACATTATGAAACAAAGATATAGGTACAATATTAATACTGTTTATTACATTCAAATTATTTAAAACTTTACATAATATAAATTTAATTTAAATATCACAATGATTTCGTTAAGGAAATGTACAAGGAAAAAATGATACAATACAAATCTGTTTGTTACCTTATTGAGAAACTTCTGATAATGTATTATTGAGTAAACTACTTTTCTCACATTATTCCAAACTTATTGCAGACCTGTTGGCGAGATCATAAAATTGTGCTGAAGTATTGTGTGCATACAGATGTGCTTTAACAGAACAAGTCTGCAAATACATTACTATGAACTATTCAATTTCATCTGTATACATATGTATAAAATCTTAATTAACTGATGGCATCAAAGCTGGCAATTGAACATGCAGCCAAATAACTTTTTAAGTAATACAAATTGTGGGCCAATATGTCTCACACTTAGGCAGGCAAGTTAATTCTGCACTGTAAACCATGCACCCACACCTCGCTCAGTGAAGACTGAGCTTCCTGATTATGAGATGTATTAATGAAGTCTGGCACTTAAGTTTCAATGCTTTATGGCATTCATTAAATATTACAACACATCACATTTCTTACATTCATTTAACGGTAACACATTTTCTCTAAGTATATTATAGGCATATACATGGCACCCATAACCTACACCTACTAATACAAAGCACTGTTATTTACATAAATTGGATCAAACTCACAAAACCTAGTAACAAAAATTCCCATATGACAAATACTAAACTAGAAATCACAGATGCTGTACAAGTCATTGCATTTAGTAAGATTAACCACTTTCTTCAGTTTTTTGATATGGATCATCTGTTGAAAATTTAAGAAAACTTAAGCACAACATCTCTTGCATTGAAGTAAAGTTGCTTCAGAATTTGTAGTTCACATAGACATAACCAAATCTAAAATGCTCTCCTCTTATATCATTAAAGGCAAGTTAGATCAACACATTCACATGGGGGAAATATTTAAAATGAACCAAATCGTAATAGTTTTTGTATTGCAAGTTATCATTTCAATTCATCTCAGTAAGATTTAATATAAAATGTAATTAATTTAAAAACTTTTAATACTATTTATTTTATTATATCAACCTGAAATGAATGGTAATAGAAAACAATTATATAATTTAATTTTTTTTAACACTCCTTTAAGGCAGATATTCTTTTTCTTAGTATGTGTTGTTCTAGTTGTGTACTCGCCAAGTAATGAAAGTTCAGTGGAGGCTACTACGTAATTGAATCATTCTTGTGAATGACACTTTGTCCAATATTAGAAGAGCAATTGTTAATTCAGATCCACCATTATTAGGATTGTGTTATGTGAGGTTGGCGTCCAGCCTTCTGCAATGTTCTTCGCAACATGGCCAGATTTTCATGAGCACTTCGGAGATGAGGCTCTATTTCCAATGCTCTGCGATAGAGCTCTTCAGCTTTATTATACTTCTTCCAACGGTGATACAACACACCTTAAGAGAAAAAAAATTGAAATTAAGGCCATTAAAAATGTTTTATTTTTATTTATTTTTAAAGAAAATTGCAACAACAAAAAAAAGCTCATCGTAAACAAAGAACTTTACAATGATTTTTCACAGAATTGGTTTCTTTTTCTGTCTCATGAAACTAAATCCACACAAGGCATCAAACCAAAACCAACATTTTTCAATAGTGATAATAAAATACACAGCAGCATGTTCCTCAGAATTAGAGCCTGGAAGTATGACAAACTCTCATTTTATTATTATTATTATTATTATTATTATTTATTCTTTTTAACAATAGTAATCCCTTAATTGTACTTCTGGAGTTGCTTTAGATTTTCATTTTGCCTATTGTAGCTTCTAATGCCAATGTTTACATTTGATGCCTCTGTTTAGCTTTTTTCTTCTTCTATACATTACTACTGATCTCGATCAAACTGGTCATATACTTGCAAGCCTTGACTACACAAAGGTACAGTTGTGTTTTTGTATTTCTGAGGAAGCATGTGTTAAATATATAAATAAAAAGGAAGATAATACCAGTCATGATTTTTGATGTTTTTTAATTGATGCCGAATTTTGTTGCCAGCATTGATGCCAGGCTTTGTTCGTTCAAAAGGAATTCAATTCTACTTTTAAGTGTAGCCTTCCTTTTAAGGACTGGTCTCTACATGATAAACCCTTCTTAGTGCTGGCAATTACACGAGTGCAAAGTACGAAAAATATAATTCCATTTACCCTGATGTCATTGCCAGATTCAAAAGGGAGTCTAATACAGCATTTCAAAGAGATAGCATTATGGTAAAACAATGCGTAACGATACCAGATACTATGGAATCAAGATTACAAGGAAAAGATGTTTCCTTACATGATGAAAGTTAATGTAAATTATAGTTAGAATTTTTTAAAATTTTTTTCTTTTTATTTAATGTTTTACAATAATTTGTTTTAAATGTGATTTTTCATTATTTTACATGCCTTTTTGCTACTTTCGCTAGAATAAATGGACAAAGTCTGGCACAATAGGCACTCAATCTGTCAAATCACAAATTTGCATTTCGACTTTTGAATCCAAAAAAGTAGAGCTTTTGGTTCGTTGTTGTGGTTGTTTTTTGCATTACTTACAAATTTTAATAATTTATAATACTTTACACTATCTGAACGCAAAATTCGAAACTGTTTTTGAGAAAACCTTGTTTTAAACATTGTCTTTATCTCACAAAATTACATGAAATTACTCATATTTTGAAAAAAATTGTATAGGATCTCATTTAAAGGTCTAATTTTGAAAAAAACATATTTCATTAAGAAAAAATATTTCTCCAATATTTTAGTTGTAAGAAGACTGGAAAAAAAGATCAAATTTTGCGATTATTGAAAATTTGAAGATGAAAGAAATCAAACATGCACCATTTTCATGTGTATAGTTTGCTCTACTGATAAAAAAAATTAAAGAAAATTTTTGAAAATGCCCTTGAGGCTACATGTTAAGTATCCTGCAAAATCAAAACCTCCATTTCAAATTCAAGGGCCACAACATCAGCCAGATCAATCAAGGAATATCAGTTTTGGTGAAAATCATTGTGTAGTCATTAGCATTGTTCACAGATGGGTAGTTAGACATTTGCTATAAACCACTTTTGTGGATTCTGACTACACAGCGTGTTAGAGGAAATTACTTTCTACAGACAGGAACAAGAATTATCCACTTTTTTGGCATCAGTGGCATATAATGAGACTTTCAGTGAAAAAATTATCATAATTTTTTTCCTAAAGCTTTTCAACACATTTCTACACACATACATTGCATGCACAAAATTAAAAGTGGTTTTAAAATAAAATGAAAAAATATTTGATCAACCAAAACTGAACATTACTTTAAACTGTTTGGTGCCCTTCTACTATGTTTCAAAGATTCTGGTGTTAAAAACATAAAATATTTTAAGAAATAAAGTTTTTTAAAAATTCTATGGGGTGGAAATACAAGAATTACAATCTTATCTCATGCTTAGAGAAATTTAATACACAGAATACATAAATGATTCCTAGCTCTAAAATTTAAATCCAATAACAAGATTGAGCCCTTGACAATATCTTTCTATTCTTCAAAAATAAATACTTTAACACACATTGATTAAATAATGATTGAACCCACAATAACACATTAGCAAGAAATGAACCCATTCGTCATTCAACCCTTCTACTTCAGACCACTCACTCACTGTTAACTTGATCTTGCTATATTTAATTGGCTGTCCGGGTGATGCGTTCATGGCAAAGGTGCCGAAGCTTCAGACGCCATTCTGCCAATTAAATACTGGCTCTGGCCACGGAAGTCTACGCTCTCACTTGATCTTGCTACCCGTTTTTTCATTTTACTTACCAAGGTTAGTATGGTAAACTGCATTTGAGCGGTCAAATGAGATGGCAGCAATGAAGTGCTTCTCTGCTTCTGCAAATCGCCCAGCCTTGCCCAATGTGTTGGCAAGGTTGAAGTGGAGAGCTGCATCTGAAGGCAAAGCTGCCAGGGCCTCCTGAGCTACAATTTCTGCTCTGTTGCTTTGGCCTGTGCGACAAAACATACTACCATTTTCAACAAATTTATCACTTGTTTCTTTTAGAATGTTACCTCCATAGTTTAGTCCATAGATGTTTTGAAATTTCATAAAGCTGAAAGCTGCAATAAGTGAAATTTGGGGAATGGTGTGCATCATTCCTCCAAGACAATGTAGAGATGGAATTGGACTTATCTCCCAAAAAAAGTCTCATGATATATGAAATTTTTTTTCAATTTTGAAACATTATATATTTATACTCATTCTGAATTAAAATATTCAATTGGTTTTGGTTCTCATCACATAAACCCGTAACTAATCTCCCATTAGTTTAATTTTTGCACTGTTGACACAACACGAAATAGGCAGAAGAATTCAATGGAAACATAACTCAGCAATTAGGACATGCAACTATTTCTTTTTTTTAAAGCAGAGGAGGTATTATTTAATTTGAAGAATGTAAAAAAGGCAGGAAGGCAAAACGCGTAGTGTGAGAAAAGTAACTAGAACTATTTTCCAAAAAGCTCTGCAATGTAACTGGTAGAGATGAACAAACCTACCTATGTTATCAAGCATGATGATCATGTTACTCCATGCAAGGGCATGAGTTGACTTCAAACGAGTTGCATTTCGCCATGCTTGATATGCACGGTCATATTGCTTCTGGTCAAGGTACTAGGCAGAATAGATGATAATGCAAACTTTATTATTTATCACAATAAATATTTATCTAGTATACATGCAATTAAAACCTCATGAATAAATAAGCAATTATTTCGATATTAATGTGAATCATAAAGACAATAATTAATTTCAAAACATTCACAGTATTGGCAATGGTTTCGGTTATATATTAATATTATTATAAGTATAATGAAAGTGAGATAAGCCTGGGTAACTGGCTACTTTTATTCCTTTATTTTTTTGATGTCCCTATTTAGTATTTGAAATGTTAGTATTTATTCAGGTTTCACAGAAAGATGCATATAATTCTGTACAGGCACGTGTGCATAAATAAGCAGACACCACAATATAAATTATCATCACAAAACCCTGAATTTCACAATAAAATTAAAAAGATCACAAGATACAGGAAATGAAAACAAATTAGAGAAGAGAGGGGCTATATATTTCATTTCACATGTGTGTTAGATGATTACATTAGAATTGTAAAAAGAATAGTGGCATAATATAATATACAAGACATTATATTATACACATGAAAATATGTACTGTCATTAAGTTTATTAGCAAGTGTCTAATTAATTTCTTCTCTATCTAGCCATTAATGTTAATTTATTTTAAGTTGTTACTCAGTAAATTAACCTCTCAATGCAGAGCCTAGGTTGGGCAGGTAGCATTGCAATGCAGGGAAGGAGTGTCTTTGTATCACCACAGAAGCAAGTAGACGGCTTAACATGTCACTGAGGCAACCTTCTGGGCACTTGCCACAGAGAGGAAAATCCCAAAGATGCTCTCATGATTCAATGGCAAAGTCGCTTGCCTTTCACCATAGGTTCTGGGTTCGATTCCCGTAGAATCCCCGTAGAACCTCATGTGAAATTTGTTACGACAAAATGAGTTTGCATGCTTCATATTGGCTAGTCCAGCCCTGGTGAAGTGTCCTAAACCCTATCCCAATCATAATTCCTTCCCAATTCTGACCGCTGAGTAGTGATGTGTAGCAAGAGGCGCGTATGCAGAGATGCTACTTGGCGGTCCTCCTGACAACTGACTGCGATGAGACGTGACAGATATGTAATACTGTATTAATGGAGGATTACTCCAAAAGCGCAAAGCACTCAATGTCCCCCGAGCTTGGAGACGCATTGTGTCAACTGAAGACACACAAATTTTAAAAAAAGGTGCACATTGTCACAAATGGCACTCAGTTCATATTAACTTTGTGTTGTTCTTAATTGATGACCTTTAGGTCTTATATGAATTTATTGCGCTTTCTCATAGTTGCCTTTCACAAGATGATTCTTTCTATTTCTCAAGTAGAGGGTCCGTCTTTTGTAATTGTGTACACCCAGAAATTTTACTTTATTGTTTTGTCATTTCATATTATGTCTTATGTCTTTCATCTTGCTTCCTTGTCATGAAAATTATTTTTTTCTCACATTCAGCTTGAGTCCTGAATTTTGATAGTTATCTACTTCTACATACTCACTTCTAATAAAACAATGAAGTAAAAATGTTATAGTATAGAAGAAAGTGTGACACAGCCAAAATTACAGAAACTACAAAAATTAAATTTGAAATATGGGTTCTTATTACTAAGAAAGGATTTTTCAAAATCCATCTTCCAAATGTACAAATATTGTAATTTTTGAAAATACTTAATTTGTCAAATCTACAATGCATCTAGGTAATATGGATTGTGGGGCGAGGGTGGAGTGACACTGGGAAAAGTACAATAGGGTGGTGAGAGGGAGGACCGAACAAGGAAAGTGAGTAGGGTGGGGGAGATCAGGGACGGCAAGGATGGAAATAAAATTAGTATTCCATTTACTCTTCTGATGTAAATCATTTCTTTCCAGCCAAATAAATCATTGTGATAAATAAATGACCATGCAATACAGGTTTACATCACCTGGTAGACACTAATAATAATTGGAGATATATACTCACAAGATTTCCCAAATTATAATAACAATCCGGGTATCTTTTCCTATGTTGGATGGCAGTCAAATAGCTCTGTTCTGCTTCTTTATACTGTTTCAAACCAGCCAGAACTATTCCTAGATTCATCCAAGCTGCAGCAAAGCTTGGTCTAAAACCAAGTTCACATTTTATTGCTGATCAATATGATATTCAATTTGTAACATTAAACATCCAAAGAAAAAGTTATTCAAAATAATAAATTATACAGTGTTAATGTTTATTGTTCAGATGAAAAGATATATAATATGATTTTTAAAAGGATCTCAAATTGAACAAGATAATATATTCACAAAAAGTAAAGACCAATTGTTATTAAGTTTAATGTTAGTAAGATTTAATGGATTGTGAAATTAGCATTTAATAAAAACTGAATTTGTGGAAAACAACAAAAGTTCAATTATTAAATTCTTAACTAATGAATTTATCACTTTGAAATTAAAGCTAGAAATCTCTCTCAATACGATTTTTAAAAGATAATTATCTTGGTTTTTAACCCTTTATAGTCTAAATAAATATTAATAATTATACAATGGAACTGAGTATTTTTTCTAAGACATAGAAATTGAATAATAGTTTTATATTTAACTTGAAGAAAAACAAATTTAATGAAGAAATACTAATTTATTATTTTATTACCTATACTATGAACAAATCTTTTACATACATTTATTTTGCACCTATTAGTTTAAGTATTAAATAGTAAACTAAATGTACTCACTCCAGTGTGAGCACTACCTCTCACTGTGCTTATATGCAGAAGAGCATTAATAAAATTACCTTAATTCCACTGCCTTGCGGAGTAGTATTTTGGCTTCTTCTAACTTCCCATCGTCTTTCAAAAGATTGGCCAAATTATTCATAGCTTGATCATAGTCTGGATTTAATCTAGAAATAAAAGCAGGTATTGAAACATTTTAATAACAAGAAAAAAAGCTACATTAAACCCTCATTAGCGTGAATTCGAAGGGACCAAAATAATCGGAGTTTGTGTTATAAAAATTCCTGTTATCCAAGTATTTTAAATGTCTGTATTACCATAACACTTTGATGAGACCAAAGTTATTATTGTGTTACAGCGAAGTTCATGTTAAGCAAGTTCGTGCTAACAAGGGTTTACCGTAATTTCTTTTACTGCATAATGAACACAATTCTCAAATATGACAAACCTCAGTGCTTCTCTGTATTCCATATGAGCAAATGTTCTATTGCCTGAGTCACCAGCATCTTTTGCAATGTTGTAATGTACTTTAGCATTTAGTGGACAGACTTGCAGTCCTGATTGGAAGAGTGTAGCTTCAGTTCGCCATTCTCCACTGCGCCAGACAGCACGTGATATGAAAATTAATATTAGAAAAACATAACTCAACTGCAACATCTGAAAAGATATTTACACAATATGAGAACAAATGCAGTGGCATTGGGTACCAATTTCTGGTATATTACATCACTGAAAACTTTTACAAATGAACACTTTTACAAACAGTATTTGAATGAGAGAGTTGAAAAAGGTGCACATCCTTAACTTCTAAATGGAACAAAAAATTTTCTTTATAAATATTTATTTTTCAAACAAAATTCAATGTTTATGATTAGCACCTTTAAGTCAATACTGTTATGTTAATCAGTTTGTCTTGGGGTGGGTTTTAAAATACAAAGTTTACACAAAGAAATGAATATGTTTAATATATTAAATACACAGGACCAAATTCTTAATCATTTTTTCTTTTTAAAACTACTAGTCATCACTGAAGCCATGTCAAATGTTGTTTGGGACTATTTGTTTTGAGTTGGCCAGGATAGGTACTAGAATTTATTATTTATTACGTTCTGTCAGTGTGAGAATATATTGGGAACAAAAAAGTTATCTTAGTTTCATGTATAAAACAAATCTGTTTTAATTATTGCAGTTGTAGGAAGACATCAAAGAAAAATTAAACTTGCAATTTTTGAAAATTCAAAGATTATAACAAAAATGAGACAAGTACTTTTTTTTTTTATAAAAGTACTTTGTTTTATTCCAGCTAAACTAGTAAAAGAAAAAATTAAAGCTTAATTTTTTTTAAATGTAGAGAAAATTTCAAAAATGTAGGTGTATCATGCAAAGTGCTCCCAAATAATAAAATATCCTTTTCCAAATTTAAGGGATAGGTTTTTGGCCAAAAAACAATTTTTTGGTATTAAGGACCCAAAATGTGTGGTATTTTGACTACAATAAGTGTTTGAGAAAGCTATGTATTAAATATATAATGATAATTTCACTTTCTCAGTATCAGGGAGCCGCAAAATGATTTTTTGTTGGAAAACCTGCACTTTTTCTCTGCAGCTTTACAATACTTTCTCTTATAGACTAATAAGAGAAAGTTAAAAGAGTCCCAAACTATTTTACAAACTACAATGTTGTTTTCAAGAAAGATCTTGAATTCTTACAATGATACACCAAACATGACTAGAGGTATGAGTAACTTTAAGAAGAGACAGGCAGAAAGAGAACAATGATGAAGTAATAAAGAGAAACTTTTTGAACACATTTAAAAATATACATACCCGTCGAAATGGAAACAACATATATAATTGGCGCATCCCAACTACAATCAGAAGAGAGAAACCTGCTGAGGGGAGGTATAGCACTCTTTCAGCCAACACAAATCCAACATGAAAGAAAATGTTTGTGGCAGGCAGGAAGGGAATGATAAGAAGAGCCAGACTCATTGTTAAACTCCTGAAAACAAATTTCAAAGTGAAATTACAGTTTGACATGAATGTACGAAGTAAGAGTAAATAGGCTCTTGCAATATACTTTTTTCATATCTGAAAAAATTATGAGGGTAAGAGACTGCAAACATTTTGTCAACACACTATTCTATTCCTGCCAAGTTCCATGCACACAAATTTCACTGGGAAATGGCATTTAGAATTACTGATTATCGCCCTTTTGAAGGTTTACTTACAATTTTTCCCTTACTTTTGAATTTTCATTCCTCAATGATAGTGAAAAATTATTTTTGTAATAATAAATTAATCACGAGCATTATTGTTTATAATTAACATGTTAATATAAAATTGAACACTTGATTTTGTTAATTTAATTAAATTTTATTTCTTGACAAAAGAGACAATTTTTAACAATTGATAATAAACAATATCATGGAACCATGCAAATTTCTAAAAGTTATCTTACCTTCGAGTTCTGCTGCAAGAATGATTCAAGCATGCTCGCAGTAGCAAAATCATAGCCACCCACAACATGACTGCAGCAATGACTCGTGGATCAACAGGAAACTGGGGATTCAGCAGCGGAACACAACCCATGGACCAGTCAAAGCACAACCACTCAGGACACAACAAAAGCCAGGCATTAAGAGCATATAAATAATTGTAAGTCATGGCCTGCAAAATACAAAGATAAAAATTAATTTGTATTTGGAAGAAAGGCAAATATTCTTATGGCTCATTTATTTATCTTATTAATTAAAATTGATAGAACCTTTCCCATCAACACAACAAAACAAGAATTAGAATTTAATCTAATGTTTTTATAATTTAGAAAAATAAATATTATTTAGATTGTACATTCCTATCATTCCTTCTGAAACATGCAAAATATTATACGTTTCTCACTCTAGTAAGGAAGCATTCAGCAAATGATGCTGGATTGTCAACTTTTTGGAAGACAGGAGGAGTAGATCCCATTATCCTCCATCGAAGTAACAGCAGAAACATACCAGTTACAAAGAGAATAATATGTCTCACAGCAAGATGACGCAATGATGGAATATTACCCTGCTGAACCTTACAAACAAATTTCATTTATTTCAGTATTTTAATTAAACAACTTTTTTTTATACTCTTAATCCACACCATTTTTATAAAAAAATTAAAAATCAAGATAAAACATTTCCATGTCTTACCTGCACTGATTTTCCATTAGCACAATTAATATCTAAACTGATAATAGGTTTTCCTTCACTATCAGAATAATTCTTTTTATGAGGCAGAGGAATTAATTTGATGATATTTTGCCAAGAGTATTTCAAAATACTGATAGGGTGCAATTTAGAGTACACAATTACATCATAAGCACTACACAAACCCTACAACACAAAATCATTCATCTCACTTCAATTCAAAAATTCAATATTGAAATTAATACGATTCATGTAATAAACTTACAATAACTGTTATACCCTGCTCCTTTGAGAACATTGCAAGCCCAGCCAATATCATACTAAAACTCATTGCAATGCATTGTGTAGTTAAAGATGATTGAAGCAAAGAGTTGCGATATACTACAAAAGACAAAAAGAAAAACAGAGCACACAGGAGATCTGCACGGCCAACAACACCAGCAACCTGCAATGACACAATTTACTTCTTTTTATAACAGTATTTTATAACAGTTAACAGGAAATAAAAATATTTCTGTTATGGTACTGACCGCTTCAGCATGAACAGGATGCACAGCAAACAGGATTGCTGCCAAAAATGCAGCTCGAGGGCAGCGATCTCCAAGGAGATTACCAAATACTGCATGTGCCAGTACACTCACAAGGGCATGCAACAATATATTACTTAAATGAAAACTCCATGGATACAATCCACCACTAAGCCAATAATTCCATCTGTTTGGGAAATCCAGAGATACTCATAGATTAAGTAAAAAGACAACATTAATTCCATGTATTCAATAGATAATACTTTTTCTTTTGCATCATAAATGCATACCCATACCTGAATGATAATACTGTCAAAGGACGGTATGATTTATGACTTCTGTTGCTGGTAAGTCGTGTTCCCCAAAAGTCATTGTAAAATATATCCCCTACAGGTTTTTCAGGGCGTACATCATCATTATTTATAATAGCTTCTGAATCATCAAATACAAAATTGCCATCTAATGAATTTGCATAACACAATATTGCAAAGAAAGCAACTGTAAGTACTGACAAGGTGCCTGGGGGTTCTACAGAAAAAACAACCATACAATTATAATAATAATAATTATAATAATAATAAATCAGTGTAAATGGCCAAACAATAAACACTGAAATTTCACTCACTTGGTACAGGAATGACATCATCCCAATGTTCCTTGTTTGTTCTGGAAAAGCAGGAGTTACAGCCTGTGTTCTGTTCTCCATTGACAGATGTCAATCCTTTTATTTTGGAATTCATAGTGAATATAATACCTGTTTCATTTCATATCAAAATGTATATTTAACTCGCACACATTGTGGGCTAATATAACTTTATACGAACATTTCAAAATGTGATGGGCAGAGCAAAATGCTTGATGCCTTTGCTGACACATAACACAACATGAACAATCGAGGTTATGTGCCTTTCACTGAAAGCGCCGATTTCAAGCGCAACACATACGCTGAGTTTCCAGAAAATAACATAGTTTTATACAACATTGATCGAATATGCACTTAGTGAACCCTTCTTTCATTTTACGTATCATATAAATTAGCAATAACACTATTTGCAAAAAGGCCTTCGAGCCTGGCGAGCGAGTCGTTCACGCACGCCAGTATTATGAAAATCATCATAACCACAAATATCACATCCTTATTCCACGATAAATGTAAATAATGGAAATTAAAACATTCAAGATTAAAAATTTATTTCAGGGTGAAACAATATTTTGTGTCACATAGCTGAATATGAAATATTTTACTCTTTAGTTCACATACATCCCACGTCGCCTCCCGCGTTTAATTTGAATTTGTTTATTGTTGAAGCAGCTGTTGACATGACAACATATGTTAACAGTTTACTTCGTTCTTTTTACCATATTATATAATTACTCTCAGATGATTGAAGTTTAAAAAATATAGAAATACAAAATACAATTTACATAATTAGAAAGTGTTGATTACTATTTCGTTTTCATACTATGTTAAATTGAGAGAATTGATAGGTAGGCTATATTTTTTTAAAATTTCATCTTTTTTTTTAGTTTGCGTTCATGCGGACGAACTCAATGACAAATTCCCTTCAAAGGCTTGAAGAAGCGTTATAAAATAGCACGGGAGAATACACTAGATTGAAAAATAAATACGTAGAACTAGAAATGAGAAGCTTTTTATTATATCTTCAAAAACACCATATGAAAATAGTAGAATATATCAAATAGCTTGGATAAATCATTTCACCTTTAAGTCAAACTTTTTGACTTGATAGTATTATCAATTCATTCACGGTATTATTATCTCACGTTAAATATGCGCGGGCGTAATGTAAAAAAAAAAAAATGAGTGCAGAATTCTGAAATAAAGAAAATTGACACTGTAATCTGTTTCCCTTTAACTTAAAATTAATTATTAAAACTATAATGTTACATTTATATTTATTATTATTATTATTATTATTATTATTATTATTATTATTATTATTATATTAATTCAGTAAATTCAACATGATTTGAACCAGTACGAATTTATTTTAAGTTTTAGTTCATTTGACTCACTACTGGCTACTCACGATTTCAATGTCATTTATTTACAAGTGATAACATTTTCACTCGAACTTCAGAATGTATCACATTCATGTAATTTCTATTTTTTAAATATCAGTTTGGATATCGCATCTTGCAATAATATCACAGTATTCCATTGCTGAGATTGTAAATTGAACATACTTGAAGAAAAGTAAATGAATGATGTTGGAGAAAGCGAAAATTTATTACAATCTGAGTGGCAGGACGGGTAGTGTTGACAGCGATCTCATACTGGAGCAGAGCTGCTAGATCCTGCGCCGCGACAAATTCCCGCTGCCATTAGCATGTTCTGCGCGCGCATTGGCTGATGGGGAGACGGCGCGGCCGGCTGCGTGCGCGCGCGCCAGCGCCTCCTGGAAGCCTTGCTCATTCGTGCTTCAGCTGTCATCGCCGGCGCTGTAGCGGCAGTCTCCATCGTCTGGCCCTGGCCGTGGAGAAAAAAAAACACATCGGTGCACGTGTGCTTTATAAATAAACAGGGAATCGTCATGTGACTGTCTCGATAGGAACACGATGTGGTGTGTGAGAAATGTTTCGTGAAGGACTCTTCAAGTAAAAATTCTCCGGAAGCGATAAAAAAGTGTTCAATTCGGAGTTGGATGTGTGTAGCAGTATTCTGGTGATGTGTGCAGATCGCAACTCCAATGGAAAAATGATCCGGCCGTATTGAATAAAACGTATGTATGTGGCATCTGCATGGCACAGTGTGTAAACAGATTATTTATTAACTATTAGTTTAATGAAATCAAGTTTCGTTTGATACATTTTACAGAAGCATCTCCCTCATCTCTTGAACGAGTGCTGAATGTACCTGTTACCTTTTAGTACTAGGCATACATTGCAATAAGACATATTTTATGAAAGTAAAAGAACTAATGAGAATAAATTCTTTGGGAAATGAGCATTATTTTGGAAACGAACGACTGCTCGTTTTTGCTTGTGATATCGATTAATCAATTGAGGTTCCGCGAATCTCTGCGCGGCTGTGCTAGAACGTGATCTCGGTGTGCAGTCTCATTCATGCCGCCCCGCGCGACGCGGTGGTGGCTGCGTGGTGTTTTTGCGCCCGACGAGAGAGCGTGTGGGAGGGCGCTCGTGGGGCTTGCGGCGCGGCTCGGCGCGGCCTGTCGATAGCGCGCTTCGGCGCGGGCGCCTATGGGGGAGCTCTGGGCCTCGTGGCGCTTCGCCCCACCCCCTCTCCCGCCATGGCTTCCCCTCCCGCTGGCACGCCTGGCCCTCGCTCGCTATATACCACCCCCGCTGCCGACTCGCTCTCCGCACGTGCTACGCGTCTGAGCTCAGTCTGCTTTTCGACCCGAGAGCCGTGGATGTCGGTGGCGGGGCCAGGAGACTGGTCGACTGCCCTAGGCGGCAAAAGGGCTGTGAGGCAAATTTTGTTTTGCCTCGTCATTGGCTTTGGCGAATCATTCCCTGCTATTACCGTGTGGTTCGTGATTTGGAAACGGTCATTTGCGGAACAATTCAGGAGATCCTGGTTAAAACGAAGGCCTTGCTGACAGCCGCCTCCTCCGTCGCTACCGTTTCCTTCACTGTTACGAGTTCTCTCTCTGAGTACTCAGGTTCCGACTGACCTGCGCAACCATCATATAGTTCTCCCACCCCCTGTCGCTGTGACACTTTCCTTTCTTTTGTCTTATTCTCTTTGGGGGAAGCGGAAAATTTGAAGAGCTCCTTATACGGGCAATAGAACATCCTTACGACAGGATTGAACGAAGGCATTAAATCGGAATTCCCACTACTACTAGTGTAAGCTGTGGCTTAAATTTATTATAATTGTGCCCGTGAGAAAAACTCGCGCGCTATAAATCATGGTCGGTGAAGATAGCTTCATACTGGAATCCAGTTTCAAACCTGTAGATCCTGTAATATGCCGTACATAATAAAGGCACGGTATTGCCTTTTATTTTAATATTGCCAGTTTATTAACCAACAGAAAGACTAGAGCCCTGCGATTAACATGCACAGAATATAAAATAGTCGATTACTCTTTTTCTAACAATTCAGACTATATGTTTCTGACTACCCGTGCTCCGGAGTGGGTTCCCGAGAGCTAAACTTCCAAAAAAATGGAGGAGGCTCAAATAGCTTTCATATTCTAGAATATGGTCTAAGAGAGATAGCTCGTGATCTGCGAGGGTACAAAAACCGAGTTTCTGAGAACACGTGAGGTATCCAAAAATGTAATAGAACGTTCCAAAATTATCACAATGAAGGTGACGGCATACAAAACAGCTCGCCGTCTGTTAGGGTTTTAAAAATAAAATTAAAAAAAAAAATCAAACTTGTTTCAGGGACCAAGGACCCATTGTTTTGGTGTTATGAACGATGCTAGTGTGTGTTGCGGGTTGCATGCGTTCCTGCGCCTTCCCCCAATATAATAAATGCGAGCTTAATTTTTACTTTTCTTCCATCATACTACAGTATGAGGAAAAGTATTGGAGTCAACAATACGGACTCGAATTTTTCTGTCGTAAAATGTGTTTTAGGCTCGTTTGAGCTTTGACTTCCCGCATAGGAAGAATTAAGATACATTAATACTGTTATAAAGATGATTAAGAGTGGTGGAGATGGCGAATATCATCAGTTTTCAGCTTTTGGGTACTTTACATGAAGCCCCTGCAGAATTATCAAAATTAACTGAAAAAGGGCCGCAATTGTTTTGGCAAGGAGTTTGGAGAATAGAGAATGGTAGATGTGAAATGTGGATGGGAAGATGGAGTGTGGATGGTTAGGGGTGAGGGTGTAGTTGGGATGAGAAGGCTTGACGGTATTGTGGGGATGGGGAGGGTAAAGGTATTGGGGACGGAGCAAGTTGAGTGATAGTGGGGATAGGGATAGTGAATGGTATAGTTGGGACAGGGAGGGTTAGGGTGTAGTGAGCATGGAATAGGTTGATGGTGTAGTTAGGATGGGGAGGGTTGAGCGTGTAGTAGAGCTGGGAAAGGTTAACGGTGGAGCGTAGATAGGGAGGTTTTAGTGAGGATGGGGAAGGTTGATCGATAGTGGGGAAGGTTAACGGTATAACGGGGATGGAAAAGGTTTACGGTGTAATGCGTATGGGGTGGATTGACTTTATGATGGAGATGGGAAGGATGGATGGTGTAGTATGGATAGGGCGGGATGAGGGTGTAGTGAGGATGGGAGGATTGATTGTATGGTGAGGATGAGGAAAGTTGATGGTGTAGTGGGGAGAGGGAATGTAAACGGTGTAGGAGGGATGAGGATCAGAAGCGTAACGTTCGAGCTCGCAAGGCCCGTGATTTGGGGGGCCTGTTTGTGGGGATATTTTGATTATTTAAGGTACTAACACTACTTGTGCCAGCTTTACACATTTATAAAAGGGACCTGGATAAATGTTTTGCAAGTGAAGCCGCACTCTTTTCGTCACGCTATTGATGATGTAGTGAAGATGGGGAGGGTCGAGGGTGTAGTGAGGCTGGGGAGAGTGATGTGTGGATGTGGAGGATTGTTTGTCTAGAGTGGATGCTGTAAGGTTGGATGGTTTAGTGTGGATGGGAAGTGGGGCGGAATATGTTGAGGTTCCTGTGCAGCCTGCCGGCCGGCGGCGTAGCCGATGGGCTGCGGCGCCACCACCTCCGTAATCCTCCGTAGAAGATCTCTCGGCGCCTCCGCCGAAGGGCGACACGGGGACTTAAGACGCACGGGTGGCGCACCAATCCTCCACGAGACCTGCGTTAAACACTCAATTTTCTTCCGGGTGCGCTCGCTAAAGGAACATTTGACTTAACATTCGAGTCTAAACTCACGGAGACCTTTCAACCTAACACTATATTAATTCGGTTATGAAATTTTAAGCCAATTGTCGTGTCCAAGAGATTTTACAGACCATACAATCCGCGCACGTTTTCTGGGGCTTTCATTTTAAAATAGGCGGGAGAAGTAAGAGTTTAGTTATCTTATCGCAGTACTATCAAATCAAACCTGGAGCTTATTTACTTAAGCAAATACTATCTATTACACCTGAAAGAACATTTCTTATTTTTTAAAATTTCTTTCATTCTTTAAATTATGTTGCCATCAACGCATGCCGCTATCTTGTATTTATTATAGATTTACCGTACACAATATTCAGTATACACAATATTCAATGTGTATGGTAAAGAAGATCGGATTTTTGGTCTCAAGGAAGCGGGCGGGATAATATTGTTTATTAGAATTTGAACTG